ATTACATTTTTTATTTTAAACTTTTTAAGTTTCTCTGTTATTTTATACTAGTTTCTTATATATATATTATGCTTTTTATACAAAAAAAAGCTGAACCTCATTCTAAAATAATAAATAAAGCAATCAAGCTCTTTTCTGATTTAGTAGATCTTGACTAGTAGCCTAGTTATGATGATCATGTATATTTCCAATATTTGTCTAATAATAAAAATAATATCTCTCTTCTAGATGCCTATCATCCTGAAAAGATTTATTTAAAATATATTATTTGAGTAGTAGAAAAGAATTTTTCAGTAATTGATCATCCATCTGAAATTTATAGATTTTTTGATACTCACAAATACATTGATAAGAATCTGCTTCTTCACCTAGTTTTAGATATTGACGTAAGGTAGTATTCTGATCTTATGAATCCTGAACTCCCTTTCTTAAATAAATATAAAATTTCTCATAAAGATTTATTATTCAAAATCTTAATTGCCTGCACTGATATTATAAACTCTGATCTAAATCATTTTATAATATTAGATGCTTTTACCTTAGCCAATTCGTCTAATACTAATAAATGCAGTTAGTATATTATGTATTCTTATGCCCATTTTATTAATTATAGAGATCTTAAGGGTTTTGTAAAAAAAGTAGTTAATAGAGTTAAAAAACTATACTCAGTTTTTATTGATTTTAATCTTTATAATCTTACTTCAGCCTTCATTTTTTTAGATTGGTAAAGGAAGATAGAGTTAAAAGACCTGCAATTTTTCAATTAAAAAAGGATATTATAAGCTAAAAAATTATCTAGTTCAGCCTAAATCCAATTATTCTAAAATCTGATCCTGAACCTTTTCCTCTAAGAAGCCAGAAAAAGAAGAATTTTAACCTATAGAAGATGAAACTGCTTTAAGCAAGGAAGCTAATCAAGTTATCGCAAATATGAATAGTTTGATATTAATAACATTAGAAAGGGATTTATTAACTTTTAAGTTCAGTCATTAGAAGTATATCCCATTTGCAATATCAAATATAAAAATGATTAATTATATGATTTTCTTTAAAATACGGCTGTTTTGTACTCAATGTTATTAGCAGAAAATTATAAATCAGATCATAAGAGATTAGCATTTGAAAAAGTGACTGAAATTTCTGCAAAACCTAAGAGAGAAATAGTCAAAAGAATAGGTAATGCTATATCAAATCCACGTTTTCTTGTAGAATTTTCAGAAGAAGTTATTAATGTTAAAAAACTAAAAGATGCTCCTGAATGATATCCTGATTTCTTGAATTCTGAAAAAACTACCACACTAATTTATTCATTTTTGATAATATAAAAAACTACTATGTTGAAAGAGATTATTATAACATTAAAAGATAAGTGCATGATATTTCTTCTTTATCATATTATATCTGGATCTCTTATCAAAAATCTCTCAGTAATGAATCAAAAGCCAAACTTGACTTATTAAAGCATCTAACTTTCAAATTTATAATTATCAAAATATGTAAGGAGACTTATCAATAAATGAGTGAGATATTATCATAGTATAAGTTGAAAGTCTTTTTCAAATCAAATTCATAACCCGTCCTTTTGTGACTATTTTTAATGAGATTAATGCTATTATGTATCAAATGTCTAGCAGTATAAATACACAAGAATCTGAGAATACATTGCGTGATATTTTAAGATCTGTTAGACATATTTTAACTATGAATGTCTTTGCAAATAAATCAACAATAGCATTCTTTAAGATATATTGTAGTGAAGATATTCATATAATTGATAATAAATACCAGCCTTGTGTATGTGAGACAATTGAATTTATTTATGATTTAAATAGTAAAGCAAAAGCTATACAAATAAGATATGACCTTTTAAAGTAGAATAAACGTGTGATATTTGTATCTACTGAAGCAGTGATGGCTAGAGTATTAGTAAAAAAAGCATCTAAGTTATCTAAATCTAATGATTTGCCTATTAGAGCCTATACATATTATGGGAATATAAATGGAAAATAGCAACAAAAAGACTTTTCTAATATTAATGTCACTTGAAACGAGTTTGACTATATAGCTTATACAAATACAGTGAAGGCAAAAATATCATTCAAGATTACAGGTTAGGCAGCATCAAATTGATTTTCTGTTTTACATTTCATTATGATCAATTATGATAAGAAAGAAGGGAATACAAAAAAAATTATTTAAAAAAAATCACGTGTTTTATTAAAGGTTATACAAATATTCTTTATTATATTTTCATTTATTAAACAATTATTTTTTTTGACGTTTATTTGATCTTGTATTTACTTTATTTTCTATATGACTAAAGAAGGTTTTCTCTATTAATTGATACCCTTCACATATAGGATATACTTATTTAAATTTATCCTTTAATTTTTGAGGAATATTAATTAAATTGTTATCTTAATTACAATAATAACAAATTGGTACATTACCACTTTTTTTTGAAGAATAATATAGTTATTTAATTGAAGAGTCACATAAAATATGAATACGAACCCAAATTTTAGTTACTAATAGATGTTTTTCTGGAAAAATTAGTCCACTACAAGAATAATTAAATAATTCTTTTGCTATTTGAAGAGATTCAGTTTCTTTTAAGGTCAGTCATATATCTAAATATAAACAGCATATTTTTGAATATAAATGACATTTGATAAAATCACGAATTTTGGCTACTAAAGTAGAGGTGTGTGCTATTTCTGAATTCAATGTAGATTGAATTAAAGATAATCTATATTTTTCTGTAATAGATTTTCCATAAAGAGTTGTAAAACTTTCATAATGATCGAAATCATCTATAAAAATATTAATTAATATATATTATAATTATAATATTAATTTAATTATATTTAGATACATATTTTGTAAAGATATTGGATCAGGCAAAAAATTTAAAATTGCAAAAATTTTATCTGGCATTTGGTTAATTTTACAAAATTAACAAGTTATTTTTTCACATTTTTAATTTATATAAAAATAAGATTAAATTAATTTAATAATTATAATGATAATATTATTGTAATATTATAAATTTTAATTACCTAAAATGAGTATGCTCTTTTTTGATAATAAGTTTCGATAAAATTTACTAAATTGTGATATTTTCTTAATTCTGATTGAGTAGTTTTATATTTATTCAATGTTAAATCTATTATATTCATATTCTTTTAAAAAAGATATATATTAATAAATTAATAAATTAATATAAAATATAAAAATAAAAAATATTTAATATCTTAAACAATAAATTAATTTGTTATTCTGTTGCCAGATTATATATTTTAAATAGAGTTTGATTTAAAACAAGTTTTTTGATACATTCACATAGCATTTTTTGAATATTCTTTATATATAATATTAAATCTTCATGTAAATTTGAATTTTGAACAGCTTTATTTCTAATTTCCTCAAATATATCAGCTTTATCAAATAAAATTTCAGATTCTGAATTTATTGGATCACAAATAATAGCAATACCTTGAAGAGCAATATTTAGAATACTTATAATTCTTTTAGTCAGATTAGTTCAACTATGATGAGATGCAGTATGTACAGCCATAAGCATATCAAAATTACCTGCTAAAAATAATGCTATTAAAGAAATTTGTACTGATCCAAATGTACATTGATGATCAGAACCTTTATCAGTATATAAACATAAAATTAGAGGTATAGATTAGTTCAAATAATTAGATTATATTATTTGAAAGAATTCAGTAGAATGCCGTAAAGCATTACTTAGTTGAAATATAGTATCCTTGTAACTAACATAAACATTTCTATCATAAAATGAATCTGAAATAGTTTTAGGTATATTAATAAAAAAAATTACTGATGGAGTTAATAATAATTTTGTAAAATTATGATCTCCTGCAGATAATAATGTTTTTTGATGAACTAGAGATTTTTGATTTCATACACTAGTAGATACAGCAACTTCTTTACTAATTGGAATTTTGTGCTTATTATTTGTTAAAATAAAACATATATAATCACGATAACAAATTTTAAATTTATGTTCATATTTCCAAATAGCTTGACAATAATGTTCATTTTCATTAGACTTTCAGATTAAATGTGATTGAATTTTATAACTAACTTTAAAATGATCAGTATATTGATTGGCTGAATTAATATAAGGATTTGAAAGTGAAAAATTTATACGTATCCATTCTTCACAAGGAATGCAAACTTCAGGTGGTAATGGTGGACCTTGATAATATTGATTAAGTCATGTAATAATTATTTTATAAAGATCTCAAAGAGATACAGCTAATGATATATGTAAAATATTTTTATATCATTGATTATCTACTGCAAGTACAAGTTAAATAAAAATATACATATTAATAATTATTTTGAACTTTAAATCAAAAATAAATTAATATAAACTTACTTCATTAAAATAAAATTGCAATTTATCCCAAAATAAATCAAATTTTATTTCACAAAATCTATTATTAATTTGTAAAATCAATAATAATAGACAGATCTTCCATTACTAACATAAATTTTAATTATTCTTCAAGATCTTTACTTATATTATCAGTTGTAATTGAAGCATCTCCAGTAAGATCTTGAAATAGCATTCTTAAAATAACTTTAGAAATATTACGAACTAATGAATACTAAATAAATAATTTTAATTAATATTATTTTAATATTATTTAAATAAATTAAATTACAAAACTCACTTTATTGATAACATTTTATTTCATTTGTCAAGTATAATATTTAGGAATATTATCTTGAATCTTTACTAACATTCTAATTTTAAATATTTGATCTTGTAATTCATTTTTATTATCGTTAAAGCGCCAAATAAAATTAAACGTTTCTAAGTAATTTTCATGATTATACCTATAATTATATTAAAAAAAGTTATATTATATTACTTGTTAAAATAAAATCAACTGTTAATTCATACCTATATAATCCAATGTGTAAAGAAAGTTGTAAATTTTTTATATAATAAAATTTTTTCAATAGATCCTGTAATGCAAATGAATTAAGTTTGATATATTCATATGGAGGAATAGTAAGGAGTTTTTGGTATAAAAGTTTATATATTTCTTTAAACTCTTCAATAAGATAAAAACTAATACTAAACATTTCATAATTTTCAGAAGGAGTTCTTGCTGATACATCATTTTGATGTAATAATTTCATATTATTATTAGTTTTTTGTAAATGTCTATAATATTTGCACATTATTATAAGTAATTTAAGAATTTCTAATATTACATTTTTTCACACATTGTTAGTAATCTAAGGTTTTCCAAGTGAAAGTTCAATTGAATAAGCAAGCTGTAAAAGTTCATTCTAAGTAAGAAAAGTTTTTTTGTAATGAGATGTATTATAAAATTTGTTATAAACATCATTATTTTAGTAGGTTGGTAAGTCATAAATAATCTTAGGTAAATGGCATCCTCAAAAATGTAATTTGTTTAAATGTGGATTAATATACTAAATTGCTTTAGTTAAACACATAATAAAATTTTGCCATTAGTTTAATAAGAATCACGAATTTATCCCATTTTTTTACTTTCTAAAAGTGAAATAATTTCATTATAAAGTAAATTTAAATGCGTTCTTTCTTCTTTTTGAATAAGAAGTTGATTTCAGTAGTCATAAGTTTTTTGAAAAAATTTGGTAAATTTGAAGGAGGTGGTATTTGTAAATTAGTCATTTCTTCAGAAACAATCGTAAATTTTACTTGAGAAAATTTAAGTGACTTCATAAGCATTATTTGAACATTTAATCCTTCTTTTACAAGCTTCTATAAATCTATATCATCAGCTTGAACTGATACTAAACTGTTTTTTCTAAATATACACCTAAAATAACTGAATCAAATATTTTAAAAAAAAAATTTTTTTCATCTACTTCTTTAATTCTTAGTTGAATTAAACTTTTAAGACCTTTACTAGTGTTCTGCATAGATTCAGATTAATCTGAATCTAATCTGAATTCAATAGATCAGATTTGGATCAGATCTGTCAGATTCAGATCTAATTCAGATTCAGATTTGGATCTGATCTGTTAGATTCAGATTGGATTCAGATCTGATTCATCAGATCTGAATTCAATTTTTTTAAAACTGAAAAGTTCTTTTTCAATGAAAAGAGATGAATTTTCAGGCTTCTTTAGAGCTGAAAATTTGTTTCTTTTTATTGAAAAGGAACTAATTTTTAGATCTCTTTAAGAGCCGAAAAGTTTCTTTCATTGAAAGAGAATGAATTTTCAGATACTTTTAGATTCAAAAATTTGTTTCTTCTATTAAAAAAGAATGAATTTTTGGACCTTTTTTAAAACTGAAAAATTCCTTTCATTGAAAAAGAACAAATTTTTAAACCTTTTTAGAGCTGAAAAGTTTCTTTCATTGAAAAATAACGAATTTTCAGACCTTTTTTAAAGCTGAAAAGTTCCTTTCATTGAAAATAAATGAATTTTCAAACCTCTTTTAGAATTGAAAAGTTCCTTTCATTGAAAAGAAACGAATTTTCAGACTCTTTAGAATTAAAAAGTTCCTTTTATTAAAAAGAAACGAATTTTTGGACTCTTTAGAACTAAAAAGTTCCTTTTATTGAAAAGAAACGAACTTTCAGACCTTCTTTAGAGCTGAAAAGTTTCTTTTATTGAAAAAGAATGACTTATCAAAACACTTTTAGAGCTGAAAAGATTTCTTTCATTGAAAAGAAATAACTTTTCAGAACTCTTTTAGAGCTGAAAAGGTTCTTTTCATTGAAAAGGAATAACTTTTAAAACTCTTTTAGAGCTAAAAAGGTTTTTTTCATTGAAAAAGAACGAATTTTCAGAACTTTTTTAGAGCTGAAAAGTTCCTTTCATTAAAAAGAAATATTTTTGAATCTCTTTAAACCAAAAATTCATTTTTTCAATAAAACTTTCAGATTCAGATCAGATCAGATTTAGATTTAAACTGATCTGTCAGATTCAGATTTGAGATTCAATCTATCAGATTCAAATCAGATCTGGATTTCAACGAATCTGTCAGATTTAGATCAGATTCAAATCCTGAAAAATAAAAATCGAATCAGATCGAATTTAGATAAAATTTAATCTGATCTAATTTTGTGAAATACTAGCCTTTATATTCTTGAAATATAATGAAAATTATCGTAAATGTCAAAAATTTGGAAAAAATAAGAAAAAAAGGGATGTAATACTATTTTAATATATTCAATGAAAAAAATCATTGAAAAAATGGTAGAGTATATATTCGTTCATAAAATATCATTGAAAAAATAGTAGATATGTTGATTGAATCGATCAATCACATGATCTGTATCTCGTAATTTTATTGGTAGATATATTTTTTTTTGTGAAATTTTAAAAAATTAGAGGGGAGAAATATGTAATACAGAAAATCAAATTAGTGCTGCCTTACTTCGATATAATTATAGCTATTATAAATATTACTACTTCAGTTTATATCGAAACTCTTGTATAAATGCTTTATTGAATTCATAATTATTCTCATTGTATTGTTTCTATATTCTATTAGAAAAATTCTAATGAACTTTTTCACCTACCAGGTTGTGAAAATATTAGGGTAGAACTTAAAAATACTCAATCAAATAATTTGCTTACAGTAATAAAGGATCACTATGAATGGGATAACAATGTCATTTCTTATAAAATTGATGAATCTTCAGTTGTAATAACATTCATTGAAGTTAGACATTAAAAATGCCTTTCTATAAGATACTTTATTGAGAAGCTTTGTAATCTTATAGCCAGTACCGTTGTTTCTCTTTAGCTAATAAAAATGGATGAAAACTAAAATGTTATAGAAAATTGTAAAAAAATCTGTAATGAGGTTAGGGTTGAAACATTAGTTATTAAAGAAACAGATTTTAATGCTATTGCTACTTCTCAGAATCTTGATCTAAAGAAGCTGAAAATCTTAAATTTGATTAAGAATGCTCTATCTTAAATACTATGGTATTTAAATGTTTTTATATATAAAATATTTATGATAAAAATATAGACGATAAGATTTTGGAATAATCTTTGCAATAAAAAGTTTGTAAAATATTTTAGTCTACCTGAACCTCAAAAATATTTCTTGCGGTTATCCTACTTTCAAAAGTAAGATTATGATGAGAAAAGTGCAATAAAAGGGTTAAAGGCTAAAAATATTATGCAATGGGAAGATACTCATTATAAAGCTGAAAAGGATATTAAAAAGTTAATAGCGGAAGATTTGTACAAATTATATTTATTTAATTATTGGATTGTTATAAGAAAACTCTTTCAAATACTAGGTTTTACTGATATTAATAATATATGTATACTTTTGGATAATATTATTTCAGAAGCATTTGCTCAGTCATGTGAAAGATTTATAGAAATCTAAAGTCAGTTTTTATTACTCTTTAGCATTAAGTCTCATGCAAAAGAAAAGCCTGATCTTATATCAGCTATAAAATAATCAATGCAATCACTAGTAATTGGTATGGCTATATAGTTAAAAGTAATCAAAAAAAAATAGGTCTCAAGGAACAGCGAATTTGAAAATATTAATACAAAATTAATCGCTAACCATATAATAGTCTTGTTTTGAAAATAAAGGTGCATTAAAACTTTCACTATATAGACTAAAAATAGATAATAATATTCAGAAATTCTTTGATTCTATAGAACAGGAAAAATAATACTTCAGCCTAGATCATTCATTATTCAGATAAGTATCTTAATTACATTAGATGAAAACATGTTTACTTTATAAATTCTGCTAATTCTATTTTAATTTTTTTACTTTTACGTCAGGCATAATCATAAAATCTGCTATGTGTATTACAGATTCCAGTATCAAAATAATTTAGCTCATTACAGATAGAATATATTATTTTAAGATAGGCTTTATAATGTTTGATGTATCCTAAATTACTTATATACCCTTTTCTACATTTCGAACTATTTCTCTTAATATATTAGCAAATAAAATGAGTCATACAAGGTAATTTGATATTAATAATCTTAAAACTTCACTTTCACTTTTATTATAGATATTCAAAATTTCTTTGCTTTATTGCTTTTGACCAAAATTACAAATCTTACTCACTCTTTTTGCAACTTTCTAGCCAATTTTTCTTATAAATGGGTTTAGCATATATTATAAAAAAGGTCAGTCTATTACAGTAGGATGTGCACATTTTTTCTGGTAGAGACCTATAGTGTTTAACACACTTGTTCTTGTGAAAGTATTTTTTCCTACAGATAAACCTATCTTTTTTTTTATATAGGCAAGGCTAAGATGGGTAATTAAAATTTATAGAGTTCTTCAAATCAGATATGTATTCATCAAAGAGACCAAAGGATATAATACTTCTTTCTGAAAAAGTTTTTAAGATTAATATACATTAAACTTATCTTCATTTTTTATTATAAATGTTCAAAAATGTATTATATCAGTCTGTGAAATATCTTAATGATAGAGTATAAGTTATATCATTTTTTTCACTTCATTAATCTTCTCAAGAGCCATTTCTAATATTTTTCCTTTTCAAAGAAGTATAGCTCTGAGAAAATTTTTAAATTAAATTTTTTCTCATATAATATAACTAGATAACAATTAGTATTGACATAATTACCAAAATGGCTACCCCTAAAGACCTAAAAACCTAAAGCTAATAATTTTGTGTTAGTCTTAAAGCAGTTCTTAGAAAAGCATAATTTGTTATCTAACTCCATTCCAAAATAATTAAGCAAATATACTCTCAAACTTAATGTTTTACTTTCTGATTAGATAATCCATAGGTGTGTTAAAGTTGCTCTTACCAACGGTACTAATAATAGATGTTTATTTAGTAGAAAGAAGATAGATGCTTTCATGCTGAATAAAAGAAAAAAAAAATCTTACAATAGAGGGAAGGGTAAAATTTTGTGTTATAACTGGTAATGTTATGGATATTTTCATCCATCATCTAAACTTAAGTCTAAAAAATAAAGATGAAAATGAAATTATTATCAGTGTTTTACGTCAGTTAACATTCCATATTATTAACGTTATTCTTTCCGTTAAAACCAGCAAAAATTGATGAACCTGTCAAATATGACATATATGCCAAATATGCCAGATCTGCCAGATCTGCCAAATCTGCTAT